TTTCAAACCAGAGAAATTTCTAGCCAGAGAAATTTCAAACTGGTCTCTCCTTTTCTTGTTCTCTGCTCTCCGGCATGTAGTTGGTGTTGTACTGTGTGTTCCGGTGCTACTGGTTCTTTTGTTCCATCTCGGCGATCTCACCGTCCATGGTACTGGTCTAGTTATGTTATTGGTCAGTGATTCAAGAAAAGAGTCCCCTCAGGAATTTCTCTGGGTTGATCCAGAGAATTTCTCTGGTTTCAACCCAGAGAAAATTCAGTTCAACACCAACCTCAACACCACGCGCAACCATGGCAGCAAGCTTCTGATCAACTCTCTCTCTCTCTGCAGTGTCGGATTTGAAAAATATATACATATGCATGGACCAGCTTGAACAAGGATTGGTATCTCTACCAGTTTCTTCTCCTGATGAAGTTCTATCTTCAATAGAGGATGGTTTTTCAGCTCTTCCACTTGAAGTCCCCGATGTTGGGAATCTAGGGAGTGAGATACCTGGTCTAGATTCAGTTGTTCACAATGATGAAGTTCCATCTTCAATGGGAATTCTTCTGATAATGGAAAGTATGTATATAATATTGTACTGTTGCCTTTCTTCCTCACCTTTGAGAAGCACGGAAGTGAGTTGAGGTTGGGGAATTCTTATGTTCAAAAAAAAAAAAAAAAGGTAGAGAAATTTACAGTGGGAAGTTTAGAGAAGTTCAGAGATTCAAAATTTCTCTGGACCAATTTTCTCTGACTTGAATTTTCTCTGGACCAATTTTCTCTGGATTGATGTTAAGGGACCTTAGACATCATGAAAATATTTGATGTCCTTTCTATTATAAAATCATAATATCAGGGACCTTAAAAAAAATGCCCTTTACATAATACCTATGTACTTATCTTTATTGGAGAAAATAGATGGAGTCAGTAGTTACTAATTTTGCTCTTACTTTTTTTATAATAATAATAGAAGGTGTGCATACATGAGTATGCTATGAAAATCAATTGGTTCATCTTTTATTGATTGATTAAAAAAAACATTGTAGATGGACAGAAAAACAAAACAAGTTATAAAAATATTAAAATAAAATAGTGAGGCAATTTTTAGAAGTAATTTGAAAATGAAAAATGCGTGACGAAACTTAAGTGAGCTGTAAGCTTTAAATAACAGAACAGACGATAGAATAACTTAATTTTGTTTTTATCCTTCTTACTAACATTATATAAAGCTTAGTTCTCCTTTACTTTATTCTTCTTTTTTTTAATTTATTCAAACAAGTAGACAGATACCGTTGTCATTTATTTTGTTTCTTTTTTCTTTCTCTCACTTCGCCTCCGTTTGGGAAGTGGGTTATTTTTTAGTTTTTTGGCTTTTTTGACTATTTTAACTTGGGCTAAAAAGTTTGGTTTGGGAAGGACTTTTTGACTTTTTGATTTTTTTGATTTTTTTTTGTGAGAGAAGAATGTAATGATTATGGGTTGGATGTGATATTTTGTTTTTTGTGGTTAAAATAGCCTATTTTGTCTTTTGTGGCTAAAATAGCCAAAAAAGTCCCGTTTAGCTCTTGCCAAACGGAGCCTTCGTTGTCTAATACTTTCTTCTTCTTCTTCCTTTTTTTTAAAAAAAAATTTCTTTCTTAATTTGCCAATCAAAATGTAAAGGGGCCTCTACTAGACAATTTTTCAAAAGACTTTTGTGGGGAGCATTGGACAAAATTGAAGAAATAATCTTAAAAATAGCAAATAAAGATGTTTTGTATTAGATCAAACACCCCACATGATAGTGATTTAACTAAAGATTTTGATAGTTTTATAGAATTGTATTTGTTTTTGTTACTAACCTAACTTAGATGATTTCAAGGCATCATGCAAGTTTTGTTACTAACCTAAACCCTTTTTGTTTTTGGGTAACTTTCTTTTTTTCAGATGTGGAATGAATTACACAAATGGAAGTTGTTTAATAGCATTCACAATAATGCCATTAAATATCAATAAGTTTGTTTGGTTTGGATTTTTATGATTGAATTTTCAAAAAATTGAAATTTTTATTTTTCGTATTTTTTTTAATTTTATTTTTACTGAATTTTTTTAATATTCTAAGTAATTTTTTTTTTAATTTTTAGATACATCTAATATAAATACATCTAAAAAGTAAAATATTTGTGAAAAAAATCTTTAGAAAATTTACTAAATATCAAAAATACAAAAAAAGAGAAAAGAATTCAGTACATTTTTGTATTCTTCTGTATTTATTAATTTTTTAAAATATTTTTTTACAAATGTTTTACTTTTTAGATACATTTAAGTAAGGGCATCTAAAAAAGTAAAAAAAATGCTTAAAATTTTAAAAAAATTCTCTAAAAATAAAAAAATACGAAAAATAAAAAATTTAATTTTCAGAAAATTGAAACCAAACACACTAAATAATGTGTGTGTGTGTTTTTTTTTGGGTATAGTTCAAGATGATAAATAAGTTATAGAGTTTGAAATACACAAATTTAAAAGTTAAAGAATAGAGAACTCTAAAAATCATTTTATATGATTAGATATTAATACAAAAAATTAAAAAATATATATTTTCTTATAACTGGGTGGACTGGGTCATGGTTGTGATTCTCCTTATAATTGTACTACATTTCACGCTTAACTTTCTCCTGCACTATTTTAAAAGAAAAATTTTATTTATACAAAAAATTTATTGAAAAAATCATTACAGGAATGATAAGACATTGTTATTATTGTAAGTAAAAATCAATTTCATAGGTGTTTTATCAAAGTAAAATGTTCAAATTAAATATTATCATTTAATGTAGAAATATGTACGGTTTTGTTATTTGTATTTAGGTAAATTATATTGACATCCTTTGAGATTTGGTTCAATTACTACTCATCCCCTGACATTTTGGAAATTATATTCTCACCTCTGTGATTAATAGTTTCATTTCATAAACTCCACTGTTTATATAAAAAGTAACAATTCTTAGTAAAAAAACAAAGGAAATTACATTAAAAAAAAAGTAAAGGAAAGGCGAAAAAAAAGAGAAAGTAAAGCAAAGAAAAAAAACAGAGGGTGCATGAGTTCAATGTCTTCATTTCGTCTAAATAATTACAATGACAGGGGAGTTAGTTTAATTTTCCAAACGTCAGGGGTGATATGTATTAAACCCAAAACTTCAAGGGTGTAAGTGTAATTTACCCTTTGTATTTAGTTAACACCACAATGAATGGTATGTTTGGGACTTGACCATTTTAATATATATATATTTTAAAAAAAATTTTGGTTATATTAAATTGGGACATTTTTTTATAAATTAATTTTTCTCTATATATGTTCTATTTAATTCACATTATTTTCTTATATTCCAATAAGTCTTATGAGTGACATAGTTACCAAAATATCCCTAATAATAATATTCACATTTACAGTGTGAATGCTCACACCATCAATGTGAGTATTTACACGTTAGTGTGAATATTTACGTTGTAAAATATGAATGTTCACATCACCAAATTGTTAATTGTTCAAAAAATATTTATAAACGTAGAAATATCCATAAAATGCTTTAAATATGAGAATTAGGATTTAGTAGATCAAATGTCTAAATAATAAGACTTATTAGAATACAATAATAATTGGGATACAAAAATTTAAAAAATTTTTTTCTAATAAATCTCCCTATTAAGTTTTTAAAAAAATTCAAAAGATTGTTTACTTACTAGAAAAAGTAAAAAATAAAAAATGTTCATTAAAGACAAAAAATAATAAATAATTGGCTTTTTGATTTTATTTTGTCTTTAGTAAAAAGAATTATATTTTTCAAAAAATTTACTTTTTTATTTTATTTTTCTACAGTAAACGGACCATAAAAGTTTTTTTTTTTTTTTTAAAAAAACAAACCAATATAGCCAAAAAAATTTAAAAAAAAAGTGGCATTTTTAGTTAATTGTCAAATGAGTCTTTTGTTTTAAAGTAAAATATATAAATTATGTATAAATTTTCTATTTGTATATAATTATAGTTACTTAGTAAAATAACCCTAAATCCTAGTTTTTTTTTTTAATTTTTTTTTTTAACAAGGAGGAGAAATTTTTATATGTCAATAAGATATTACGTAATCTTTCACCCATCACAAATATATATATCCTTATTATTCTCCAAATACTTAACATAAATGTAATGGATCCTATTGTCAAAATTAATACTCCCACCGTCCCAAAATATTAGTCCCTTATTTCATTTTTTATTGGCCCAAAATATTAGTCCCTCTTCAAAAATCAAGTACAAAAATAATATAAATTTTCTATTTTGCCCTTCTTTTAAATTAATAAGCAATATAAAAAGTACAATTATGACATTGATATTCCCAAAAAATGTACTATCAAAAGGGTAATTTTGGAAAATTAACTTTTTTAAAGTACAATAATTGTACTATAAAAAAAAGTTAAATTCCTCAAAAGTGACCATTATTTTGGGACAGAGGGAGTAATAATAATAAAAGGTATCACATACATATCTGGGGTGATTTGAAAAATTAGTTAAAAATTAATTTTTTATTTTTTAAACTTTTTTTTATGTAAAAGATAATATAATTCAAAATAAATTAAAAATTAACTTTTAATTTTTTCAACTTGTTCCCAAATGACCCCTCTATCGGTATACAAAAATTACAAAACAAACCGGGATTGTTACTCTAATTAATTCATTGAACAGCCAAGCCTCATCAATGCAGACCAAACAAAAGTGGTTAATTTTGATTTAATTGCCAAGCACAGTGCCAAACACTTGTGGTCAAAGCCACACCAAACGACGCCGTCTCCCCATTCTTAAAATCTCCGACCGCAACGGCGTCGTTCTCCTCTCCTCGCCCGTCTCGTCGGTGAGATCGCTCCTTCTTAACATACAACCCCTTATCGACTCCAAAATTACCATCAACCCACAAACAAAACCGAGTAAATTAGACATAAACCAGGGGCATAACTGTAAGTAAAGACTTACATATAGGGGGTAAAGGGCTCGTTTTCAAGTCTCCGAAAAAACCAAGGCCGAGCGAGAAGCAGAAGAAAATTAGAGTCTGAAAAAAGAGTTTCCGTTATCCATTCTCTCTCTCTCTCTCAAAAAAATTCTTCTTGAGATATTTTCGATCGAAAATTAGGGTTTTGCACAAATATCTCTCTTGCTCGATATCGAAAATCGACAGTCATGGTTACTGATTCGATGACCAACGCTTCGATTCCCATGGCGGTCAAGGATTTCGCCAAGAAAAAGAGGGTAATTTCCCTACCCCCCTCTCTCTCTATATATGTGTGTGTTCGAATTGGTATCGTTTTTTGTTTTTCATCGATTTTGCTCAATTTTCTTTCATTGATTTTGGTTTTTTTTTTTTTTTAGGCAAACAGGTCTGCTAAATTGAAGCAGTGCAAGCTCGATGCTCGTCGCGAGCAGTGGCTTTCCCAAGGTATGTCAAAGATCTCTCTTTCTATAGATATATGTAGGGGAGATTTCAGTGCAATATACACTTCAAAGAAAAATTACAGATAAATTGGTAATTTTTATATACATTAATAATTAAAATCATAAGCTTTTTCATGAATCTGTTGTAATTTTTTGATAGTGCAACTGAGGGGGTAATTTCCCCATATATGTATGTGCCTTAAATGTTTTTATAATTGCTTTATTGGATTTGGGATGGGTGGGGGGTTTTGCAGTGAAGAACAAGGGATGTAAGGAAGAAACGGTTCATGAGCGCGATGGGAGTGACCGATCAATGGAGAATTTGGAAATAAAGCCGAGAGGCAAAACGAATGAGGGTTCGATCCACCACCATTTCAGTGATTTGGATTCGCCTTCGAACAGTCCCAGTAGTGTCTCGGGCAGTAACTTGTCTGGGACGAATTTTACTGGTAGTAGCGGAAGCAGTAGTAGCAGTAGCAGTGGTGGGAGTTGTTCCGGAAGCATCACCGGAGAAGATGAAGAAGGCGGCTTGGATGATTGGGAGGCTGTTGCTGATGCTTTGGCGGCCGATGATGACAAGCAGGAGCAGGAGCAGCACAACCCTAGTTTAGAGCCACTTGTAGAGAATGAAAGTATTGGCCCGTTAGATTCTCCCAATTTGGCTCCAGAAATTGAGGAGGTATCAGAGGCAAAGCCGGAACATGTGGAAAAGGCAAAGAGGGTTCCACCGAATTGCCGCGCGTGGAAGCCTGATGATGCGTTTCGTCCACAGAGTCTGCCCAATCTGTCGAAGCAGCTCAGTTTTCCTATGAATTCAGGCAGGCGTTATGGTTGCGGAGGCGGTGCGTGGGGCTGTAAGAGTGTCATTTCTGCGCCATCATCATGTCCCATATGTTGTGAAGATTTGGATATTACAGACTCGAGTTTTCAACCTTGTTTGTGTGGGTTCAGGCTCTGCCTTTTCTGCCACAAGAGAATTCTTGAGGATGATGGTCGCTGTCCGGGTTGCAGGAAGCAGTATGACTATGAACCCATCAAGGGGGAGGCAACTTTAGATGGAGGCAGTGTGAAATTCCGGTTGGCTCGTTCTTGTAGCATGATCACAAGGTCTTAGGAAGAGTCTCTGTTTGCCTCAATATATATGTTGGGTCTCTCTTTTTTTCACATGTCTTGCGTGTTTTCTTATCATTAGACTGATTTTCCTAGTTGTAGATGTGGATTTGGTTTTGAAGCACCCGGGAATTAGGCTGGTTCTCGTATGAGTTTGGTCATATATCTGGTGCGTATGTTCTGATGTAGAAGACCTTGTTGGTATGTGAATGAATAAGTGGTATAGAAATTGAATACATTGAATTTGATTTGAATGCATCTTTGTTCTTCATGCTTAAGTGATATATGATTCTTATTCTCATCATGGAGTTCCAATATCTTGTTGATAAATAGGATTTATTGGATCCTTTTCATTGTGTGCACTATTAAATCTGGATGCTACTAATCTATGTTCAGTGGCCATTATATTCTGAGTTGTGCGATTGCTGTAAAGAATATTTTACTTTGTCTATCGGAAATGCATTGTTGAGTTAGTAGTGTTAGTAGGGAGTGGGATGGGACTAGCGGGGCTTGAACCTCTGCCGATGAGAAGGTCAAGCATGCGCCCGACCACTTGGTCTGGGGCTCTCCTCAAGAAAATCTTTATTTATAGCTGTTACACGCAATTGCATGGCAAGGTTGTGGTGCATCATGTGAAAATTGAAGATTGTTTCAGGATGCTCATTTAAATTATCAGTTTATTTGTAGTCTTCTATTAGGCATAAGTTTTTTTTTTTCTTTTTTTAATTTTAATTTTCACTTCTTTTTTCCGGGTGTTTTGTAATGGTCTAGTAGGCCGTTCCACGACGGTATTGTATGTCAATGTTAATATACTGTTTACATTTTCTATAAACAAATGTTGTATAGCATTGATGTCCTGTTATAGCCTCAATATGTGTTCTTTTAGAACCTTAAAAACTACAGTATTGCTTTAATACATAGATTGCCTCATATACAATCCTTTGGAATACAACATAGCTTCCTTGATATGAAATTTCATTGCCTCAATCAGTGGTCTAGTCGAGCCTTAAACTAAAATGTTGCCTTCATCCAGAGCTGCTTCACATACAGTTCTCTTACCTGTAACCTAGCTGCTTCATGCCAATTTTGTTGCCTTGTTGTATGGTTTAGTAGTTGACCCCACTTGATTGGAATACAAGACTTAGCTTGGTTTGGTTGCACGGTTAGTACGTGGTTGCCACATATGTTGTTTTACTTGTTTTCGATGGATCTTTTTTCTTGAGTTATTCTCTAGTAAAATCTTGTCTACATTTTTTAATATTAGAAATTAAATAACAATAATAATAAAGAAAATAGTTAACTTGAGAGTTGCCTGAAATACATTTAAATTATTTTGGGCATGGTTGTCACCATATACAGTCTAGTAGGATCTCAAAGCACAAAGTTGTTTCGTATGTAACTGACTATTATATGGTTTTGGGACTGCATTGCCTAATTTATATCTCCTTGTTACATGGTCCATTGGAACCTGGAAGCCTTCGATAAAGTTCTCTTTTTTTATCTATGATTGTTTGAGACGATTGCTGAGCATGACTTTCCATGTTGGGATCTAGATTTTGTGTGTGTGTGTGTGTGTGTTGGGTGGGGGGGGGGGGGGGGGGGGGGGGAATATTTGTTTGTGGTTTTAGATTATATTAGGGGTGTCTTTGTAAGACTTGTACCAGTTCGATGTGTTGTTGTCTCAGAGTTGTGGACCTGCTCTACGTTTGACCCACCCTTAAAGCATGTTTTGAGGTCCATAATTTTGTTTTTTATATTCTCATTATTAAGTATAACTCAGTGTTTGTTTTAAATTTTAATATATTTCACATTTAAGTTCTCCTCTCTCATGGATCTGTAGCATTGGTCAATAGCAATGTTGGGCAGCCTACATATGGAGCTGCAGAAGTGCTGTGGTGGCTTGATATTGAAACTGAAATTATTTTGGATCAATTTAATGTTTGTCGAAGTTTCACTACTATATGTCAAGGCACTTTAAATGCACTGGTAATTTATTAGTGGATAAGTTCTCCTTTTAATGCTCAGTTTTCTTTGTATGGATACTTTATTTAATTTGAAGGTTAAATAAATATTCACAGAGACTGTCTCTCTTGTGGTTTATGTAAAGTATTGATAGTAGTCTTGAGAGATACCCTTATGACTTGGTATTGTGCTTATGGCTATCTGCTCATTGTTTGGTACCATTTTGGATAAAAATTTGTAAGGCATCCGCAATCAAAGTGGAAGTTTCTTAGAGGCAAAAATGTTACTTTTTGTCCTTCAAAATTTAAGATCACGTCTGTGAGCTCTTTTGAGAATCTATTTTGCTTAAAAATATGTCAAATTATCATGATGGTGTAGGACACAATGCTGCTTTATGCAATCAATAACTACCGGATCCATGTGTGTTGAGATGTTCTATGCAATTGGAGAAATGATTTGGCTTGAGTGATGCATTTGAAACGAAAGGAATTGCATACTTTTTGAGGAAGTTGACTTTTTTTCTTTTTTTTTTGGTTACATCAGAAAGGAGAGGAAGTTGACCTTTGAAACCATGATTTTGTACTGGAAAATGAAACGAAATTAATTGTGTGTAAAGTTCTTCCTAGACTTGCGCCTCTGATAGTAAATGAAGGGTCATGCTATTGATTTTTAATACATTTCAATACAGTTTTAACGATATTACATTAGCATTTTCCAGAAATTAATATCTAATTTTTGCTCCCCCTTGCTTTGCTTATGATATAGCCTAGGCTGATGAGAGACTCCTGTAGCTCTGGCAATTTGGTGAACTCGTTGTTCCCCTTGGGGGCACCAGCTAATTGCAGAAAGCTTTCTGTTTTTTAAAACATCTAGATTGAGTTTCCATTGGTCACTGCAAAATACAGATGTTCCCTTTACCAAGCAATGATGGATTGGATTTAAGTGCTTGATATTATTTCTCTTTCTAGTTCTATCAATATTGGTGACAGATTGATTTTGTCCTTTGCTGACCACATCTCAGGAGCTCACAGTTTGGTCAATGATTATTGGTGGCATCAGATGCCTGGTATAAAAGTTACAACCCTTCACCAAAATACAGTCTTTAAGTTACTTTTTATGCTTGTTCTTTTACTGTCATCTCAAAAACCTGAAAGTTATCTTGTTGCTGTTGCTGCTTTTAACGGTGGTGTGCTTTCATGGATGTATATTGCTTCTGACTTTATCATTAGGTGCGCTACATGGGATCTTGAATTTTTCATAACCTGATGTCTGTTTTCCTTTCTTGATTATCAGGATCAAGTAGCATTTTATAGGAACTTCTAGCTCTTCATCTTGGTAGCTGTGGGAGATACATTAAAATATGTCTACAGGTTTTCCTTTATGGTTACGTTCCTTCATTAGCTATTCTTAGATGCAGCTGTATTAAATTTATTCAGAGCAGATTCTCTTTGTGATGGTTTTGCATGGATATTTATGAACCTCGTTTTGTTTTTATTTTTATTTTTATTTTTTTTTTGGGGGGAGGGGGGACTCAGAGATATACAACGTCAAATCTTGGAAGTTTAACGTCAAATCTTGGAAGCTTGCAGTATGTGTATTTCCAACAGAGTATTTCACTCGGAGCATTATATTTTCCACAATATTTCACTTCTTTTTATTATAATTTAGGCTTATCTTGTGTATACTTTCTAAAAAGTGTTTATTCAAATTAAATTATTATGCAAATTTATTTTCCTGTAGGATCTTATGATCCTTGATCTGATCCTGTAAACCTATCCAACGTTCCATCGTAGGACTCCGACTTTGACAACCAAATGAGCCGGTGGGCCAGATCAGGTTGAGATGAAAAGGTGTGGTGAAATTTTTTTAATGGCTGACATGAGACTCAGTGCAATCCCAAGTCCAAGATGTGTCTGTTGATGGCAAGGCATTGTACTGCAGGGATGCAGTTGATTACTTGGTAACCCCTATTAAGTGCTGAAAATTTAAAATTGGAGTGGTTTCTGCTGCATTTTATGGCACGTTAAATTACCACTTAAGTTAATTTTTTTTTTTCTTTTTGTTTTTTTGAAAATGGTATCAATTTTTACTTATCGCCAGGCTGTTGTGGTAGGTAGTTCCTAAATTAAATTGACAAATTTATCATCAAGTTTAAAGTCTTTTATGCGACTAGGACTAAAATTTTCAGTTTTATTTCATTTTAGACGTGTTTTTTGCTTGTTGCCTTATTGACAGTCTGGTAAAGAATGCTTCCGCCAGCTGATTTAGTTTCTACCCATTTGAATTCAGAAGAAAGAAGTAACAGAAGAGTCATTTTGGAGCCAATCGGAGGTAGAAATTAGTAGGGTGAAATTATGGTCCCCTTGAACTACCAGGATGAGAAGGGTCCTCTTTCTTAAGAATGCATTGCTATTATAGTGTTTCTGTAACAGACAGGAATCACTAGGGGTGGATTTTTTACTTCCACTTTGAACCTATGAAACACGGATACTTCAAAAAGGGAGACGTATCCGTATCGGATACTTATTGGATACCTTGGATACACGCGGATATGTATCGGATACTTCATTAATTTTTTTATTAACTTTAGAGTATCGGATATTTAATTTTGGACTGTCGGATACTTAATTTTGAAGTATCGGATACTCGAAGTCACATATTACTTTTAATACTTTGTTTGGTTTTTTGATAAGAGGAATATAGTGAGAGTTAAAGTAATATAATTTGTCAAATTGATGTATCCTTATTGTCTCTCTTACTTCTCTCTTGCTCTCTCACTCTCTGACTCTCTCAAACTAATGTGTTATATAATGAAAGTGTGGGAGAGAGTGATGGATTTTTGATTGCGAAATATAACAGATGTCAGAGAATCAATTTAAGTAATGCCTAGTAAGTTAACAATGGAAGCGATCTATCTTTTGAGGAGAGTAATAGAAAAGTATAGAGAAAAGAAAAAAGACATTCATTTGGTTTTTATCAATTTTGAGAAAGCATATGATAGAGTGCTCTTGTGATATAATTTGGTGGGTGTCAGAGAAAAAAGGGATGACAAAAGGTTACATTGATGTGATTAGCGATATGTATGAAGTTGTGGTGATCACTATTAGATCGCCTGGTGGAGAGATAAGTAAATTTTCTATTACTGTAGGGTTACACCAAGGATTAATCTTAAGTCCTTATCTTTTTATTTTAATTATGGATGAGTTGACAATAAATATTCAGGATGATGTGCCATAGTGTATACTTTTTGCAGATAATATTGTGTTAGTGCATCAGATTAGAGAAGGAGTTAATATTAAATTGGAGAGTTGAAGAGAAGTACTTGAATCTAAAAGATTTAGGATAAACAGAACTAAGACAGAATGCATGGAGTACATTTTTAGTAATAGTAATAGTAACAGTAACAATGGAAGCAGAAGAGAAGCGAAGAATGAGAATCAAGAATTACCTAAGAGTGAACATTTTCGTTATTGATGATCGATTATTACAACGCCTGGGGAGGTTGGAGCGGATGTGGTCCATAGAATTAAGGCGGGGTGGCTTAAGTGGAAAAGTGCGTCTAGGGTACTATGCGATAAATGAGTATCCATTAGGCTAAAAGGGAAGTTTTATAGAACGGTTATTAAACTAGCGATGTTGTATGAGATGAAATGTTGGGCAACTAAGAAGCAACATAAAGATAAGATGAGTGTTGCTAAAATGAGGATACTAAAGAAGATGTGTGGCAAAATTAGAAAAGACAGAGTTAAGAATGAATATATTTAAGAATTGGTAGGAGTAGTACCCGATAGAATATAAGTTAAGAGAGAATAGATTGAGATGGCTTGGTCATATATAACGGAGACCAACAGAGGCAGATGAAAGTGTTAGGAGAAATGGTAGACCTAGATTGACGTGGGCTAGTGTAGTAAATAGAGATATGAATCTCCTTAATTTGACTAACGAAAATGGCCTTGTATAGAGTCGAGTGGGGAAGAAAGATTTATGTAACCGACCCCCTATTTGATGGGACTCAAGGTTTGGTTTGGTATTCCCACCGTATTCGTATCTTACTTTTTCAGATTTTGACATATCGTTGTATCTGTATCATTGTACCTCGTATCCGTATCTGTGCTTCCTAGCTTTGAGCCTGTTTGGGAAGTGGCTTTGTTATATGATGTAAAACCAACCTTGTTTGGTGTTGTGTTTATCTTGTTGCATTAGGTGAGTGCAATAGAATTATGCGTCTCATGTAGTGGTTTATCCAGATGGTATGATTGAAGTGGGTCCTATTGTACTCCCCTAATTCTTTCTTCCCAGTTGGGGGGGGTGAATAATTGTAGGGGGTTTGATTTGCTCTCTCTAAAGCAGAGAATGAATTTTTCAGTACAGAGGTGAGATTTTCAGTGCAGAGGCATTTTTCACCTCCTATTTTTCAGTTACACAAAGAAGCCGGGTTAAAATTTGAGGGGATGGGGAGTTGCAATTACCTATATATTGATATCAAACCTTGTAGGCCAGATTTGTGACTTGCTTAACAACCTATATATTATTATTTATTTCTTTTGTTTTCTTTTTTCCCTATTTTATGGAGTCTGATGTAGATAAGTTTTCATCTGCACATCTTAGTCTAGGAGTTTATCTTGTTGCATTAGGTGAGTGCAATAGAATTATGCGTCTCATGTAGTGGTTTATCCAGATGGTATGATTGAAGTGGGTCCTATTGTACTCCCCTAATTCTTTCTTCCCAGTTGGATGATATGGGATACTACGTATCTTGTCTTGATGAGTATGCTCATAAAAATTTATCCAAAATACTCTCATTTTGCTTTGAAGTGGAAAGTGTAATATAAAACATTGTTATTAAAAAGAAATTTACCAATACGTGATTGTAGAGTAGTCTCCTCAAGAAAATAAATGAAGTCTAGAAATTTAACCCCCCCCCCCAAAAAAAAAAAAAAAAAAAAAAAATCCCCCCCTTTCTCTCTCTCTCCCCATTAAACATGAGGCATTTGATGGCTGGATAATGTGGATGGATGGTTTTTATGTTCCCATCATTATTTTACTTTGGCCACCAAAAGAGGTAAGTTTTGTTCTTCCACTTCTAATAGGTGATCTTTTGCCTTGTTCAGTTTGCATGGTTGGAATTTGTTCTTCATTGCAGTTTGCAGCCTTCCACTACCTACTGAAATATGAAGGGATCTAGTTAAATGATCTTTAGAAGGGAATCACTGTTGGGCAGGTATGTGTTCCCTTATTCACCCCAAAAAAGGTATGTGTTCCCAACTATTGATGCAGATGATAGTTGCATCAATTAAATATGTGAGCATAAGTTGAGCTGAAAATGACACTAGTCAGTTGCTATTTTATGGGTTTTATCAAGAAATTCTAGCATTACTTATCTCTTCCAGCCTCAATACTTTAACAACTGTCAAGTGAGAAGGTTATTCATGAAGTTGGCAAGTACATTTGGCAATTTTCTGGGAGGTTCTCTGTTTTGTATGCTAACGATTGATTTTTTTTTTTTAATTCTTGCTGCGGACATGTCTTTTGTCTCTGTATTATTTTTTCTTTTTCTAATTGTTTTTGGTTTAGTTTTCCAAGGTGTTGTGTTTATATGTGCTCAACTTGTGTATTTTATGCATGCACTGTGTGCTGTTCTTTGGGAAAGCATGGGATTTGGAGATGTTGTCATTAACCTTGTATGTTTTTCTTTTAGTTGTGGTTTCCAGTTTCTTTCGACCAGCCTTCCCTCTATTCTAACTGTACCTTGCTTTTATTATCGCGAGTTTAGTTTGGAGCTTTTGTGTTAGGAAATTGCCTGTGTCTGTTTATTTTATTTGCCTCAAACACCGCGCTCTCAAAGGGATGCTTTGAGGTGTGTCATTACTGCATCTGTGGGCCCAGGCCCCAGGTAACCAGTTGCCGGCTCAGGTTTCAATCGGAGTATAGGGCAAGGTCTCCATAGAGAGCCAGCTGCAAAGCAGCAAATTTGCCCCTCCCAGGATTCGAACCTGAGTCACACCTGCGTAGAGGGATGCCTTATCCACTAGGCCACCACCCCCGGTGGTAATTTGATATGAAACTTGTAACTTAGAATTACTTCTTGTCATTTCGAATTCAGCCACTTGAATGGGCTGGACTTGTATTTGAATTAGGAGTTGTTGGACATGAAAAATCTAAGAAAATGGTGGAAGTATACGGAATGCCAGAATGATGTCATCAGACTGTAGGAAGCAGATGCCTTTCCAGTGAATTAATCTCTCTCCGCGTATGTGTGTGTGTTGTGGCTATAAGGCATAAACAAGTGACTACACCTGTGAAAATGTTAAAATTCCTTTTGCAGTTTATGGATATAAGCCTGCACAAAATTGACTAGGAAGCTTATTTTGTGTTATTTGCTGCAAATTCTACATATTCTACTACTACGAAGACAAGATTTTGGATACAATATTGGCTAGAGTTTAGATATATGTTGAAGATGAACTTCATTAGAATAAAGTACACAGCAATAGTTTATCCAAAACACAAGAACATAATTATAGGGAGCTATCCTAGGAACAGATCATATTAAAAATGAAAAAACTGACAGCTTTTTGTTGTGGCAGCCTCCTGATGAGATCTGCATTCTGCAAAAGAGAGTTTAGACTATCAATGAAAACATTTGGCCAGTCTTTTATTTTATTTTTTTCTCCTTTCTTTCTTTCTTTCTTTCTTTAATGCTGCGGCCCTCCTCGAGTGTGACCAGAGTGTTAAAAAATTGATGTATTATTGATTGATGTTTATTGTGTTTACAATGAGTCCTATATATAGAAGATTAGAGGAGGTAGGTATGTAGTAGGTGGAGTAGTAGGTGAAGTAGGTGAAGTGGGTGGAGTAGGTGTAGTGGTAGGTTTTGGTACATTTTAACAGCCCCCGCAAACTCAAGGGGGATGGAACTAACCAACTTGAGTTTGGAGAGAGTAACAAAACAAGAAAATACATAAAAATAAAAGAGGATAAGAGACACTGTATGGTCGTGTCAGACCATTGGTGAAGACACTGGATGGTGGTGTCATAACATTGTAGAGGACACTGTATGGGGGTGTTCATAACATGTAGAGGACACTGTATGGTGGTGTCATAACGGTGTAGAGGACACTGGATGGCGTGTCAGACCGATGTAGAAGACAGTTTATGGGTCATGTCGGACCGTTGTAGCAGACAATGTTGTGACAGTTGTTGTGACAGTTTACGGAGTCTTGCTGGACCTTGTAGAAACTAACCGGAATCAATGTCGGGACAGTTTACAGAGTCTTGTCGGACCCTTGTAGAAACTAACCGGAATCAATGTCGAGACAGTTTAAGAGTTTGTCGGACCCATGAAGGAGCTAACCGGAATCAATGTCGGGACAGTTTTACAGAGTCTTGTCAGACCTCTAAAAAGTCGCACCTCAAAAGTGTGCCTAATTTTCAAAAATGCAAAGCGTGCCCATTCCATAAAAAGGCGTGCCAGATATGATGGCGAGGCACGTGAGTGCCTTGGCTGGCGCGCCGTTTGTCGCTCGCGTCGAGTGGCGCGGATACGCGTGGCTGCCTCGGCTATTTAACCAAGACGGAGGCTGAGGCTGAGGCTGAGGCTAGGCAGAAGCTGAGACAGAAAAACTGAGAGAAACCTCTGAAAAATTCTTCGTTTTGCTGAGAAAGATACTCTGTAACACCTCGTTGCCCAGAAAAATGGCTTCGTCTTCCCGCGGTCTGCTCACCCTCTTTCCCGACCTCAACGAGTCAACAAGAGAGATAACTGGTGCGGTGGCACTGGAACCTCAAACAAGCGCCCCGGAGTTTGCTTCGTTGAACTTTCCTATGCGGTCTGTGGAGCAAAGAATGGCAGTGCAGTCGGATGTGGAAGCCATCAGTATACATTGAAGTCATGTGTGGAAACCATGACTGCGGTTACAAACTTGTCGAACCGGCTGCAGAGTAGGGCAAATGAGGTGCAGCAGTTAAACTCCCAGCTGGCTCTGCTCCAACGCATGTATAAGGATGCGCGAGCAGAGATAAGTGTGCTTAAAGGCGGAAAACAAGGAGCTGAAGCGGAAGGCCACCGTGATGTTCCGATTTGGAGGGCCGCCATATGCTGCAGTGGAGGAGCAAGAGGGAGTGAACGTGCTCGGCGGCGTGGGAAATACAGAGGTAGCACCGTCAAGGGCCGCCCAGGACGGAGGCAAGAAGAAAAGACCGGCGGAGAAGTGAGGGCGATTGGTAGCCGGCTGCAGAAAAGAAAACAAAGCGGTTGGTGTTTTTTTGTTTTTTGTTTTTTTTTTTTTTTTTTTTTATGTTTTGTAAAATTGTGATCGGGGTGGATCCCTGAGATGAATAAAAATGGGTGGTTGTGCAAAGTGGTAAATTGTTTTTGTTTTTGTTTTTGTTTTGTTTTGTTTTGTTTTGTTTTTTTTTTTTTTTGTGAAAAGAAGGGAATCGAGAAAAAAAAAATAATAAATAAATAAAGAAATAAATAAGGGGATGGGGATGAAATGATGAGCAGGGGGATGATGAATATATAATGATGAATAAAAATAATAAAGGTGGGAGTGGGAACAGACTGTGAATGGGTTTGGGATGATGAATATATAATGAGGAATAAAAAGAAAAAAAGGTGGGAGTGGGAACAGACTGTGAATGAGTGCTGAATCAGTGGATGAAAAAGGAGATCATGTGGGTGATGATGGATACGGGTAGAGATGTAATATGAAAAGAAAGAAATAAATAAAGAAAGAAAAGAAGAAAAGAAAATGGGTTGGTGCAAAAGTAGACAGAGTCTGGGTATTAAATTATAATAAACATATATATGGAGAGAGATATAGTAAAATAAAAGAAAGTGGAAAATAAAGAAAAGAAAAGAAAGGAGATCATGTGGGTGATGACTATTGTCTGTGTAGAGAGAGGGTTGGTGGGAAAGTAAAAGAATTAGGGAGATAATGAAAAGGGGTCTAGGGGATAGACCACGAAAAGTAAGAGTGAGAAAGTCTAGTTATTTGTGTGGTGGCTCCTTTCCCGGTTTCTCTCTTTCACCAGAAAATGTTCTCATCCATCCTCTATTATGGTTGACAGTGAAATCCAATGGGAGGTATTGTGATCTAGCGTTTCGGTCGGCGCTAAACTTGCAGCTGAAAACCGGCTGCCGGATGTTCCTCTGAATCTGGAAAACCACCGGACTACACTCCGGTTCGCCACCGAACTGGAACACAAACCTCGGGTCCGGTTCAGACCGAACCGTCAAATGCAGCCGAGCCGTCGGCTTCTCCTGTTCACTCTCGAGCTTCATCCACCCATGCTGAAACACGGTGGCTCGCGACGCCGGGCCGTCGAGGTTAACGCTGACATGGACGTGCCCCAGTAGCTTCCCGCACGAGACTCCGCACGTGCGACCCATGCGGCCAGGGTGTTCCACTCTCCACAGGTTTGAGGCGTAGATTTCGTGTGCTCTGTAACAAGGGCAGTCTAACTGGTTTCCGAAAGTCCCTGACGGAACACATTTGCACTTCTTGCAGCAGATCCCGCAGTCTGTCAGGCAACATTTCTTTTCTCCTGCCTTGGAGCACCTGTCTGTGCACTTGGAATCGCAGGGATAACCACTTGGGGGGGTAGCCTGGGTCATGGTGGCTTGGAAGGAGGAGCTCAGAACCAGTGAAACAATAAGCAAAGCTGCAAAAACAAGCTTCATTTTTGCTTGTATGAAAGAGAGTTTTAAGATAGGAGAAACTGAGAGACTGGAATGGCAATATAGGCTGTGAACTAAACCACTGGGATGTGTGTTGTAGATGTGATGCTTCTGCTAACTCCGAATCAAAACAGCGGGAGAGAAGGTATGTGTAGAGGTCCGGCGGGCGGCCAAGGCGAGGCTGTCGCCCGCTGGTAAAGCGAAAATACTAGGTTGTTAACCTTGCTCTGATACCATGTTAAAAAATTGATGTATTATTGATTGATGTTTATTGTGTTTACAATGAGTCCTATATATATAAGATTAGAGGAGGTAGGTATGTAGTAGGTGGAGTAGTAGGTGAAGTGGGTGGAGTAGGTGTAGTGGTAGGTTTTGGTACATTTTAACAGTAACTCCCTACCCTCTGGAGAGCTGGATAGGAGGGGCCTAAACAAGCATTATGGCTAGAGTTATTTTTTTTAACATGAACTCATGTCGTCATAAGCGAAAGTAGCAAATATCTTTATCCTGAAAAGTGCCAGAGGTTCTTTCAGTTGGTCATAAGCCTTGCAAGTTGGTCATAAGCCTTGCAAGGCAAGATTCTTGCCAATCTCCCCATGTTGAACCCATTTTAGAACATCTCTTTCTGTATGCAGAATCCTCTGCTTCATGTCTTCAAATGACTTATTGTTACTCCTCAGGTCCTCCACTTCAGCCCAAAAACAGGGTTCTGAGTTGGATTCTTGCTCAATTCTTTCAGCATGTTCACGCCACCTTTGCATGTACTTGTAAAGATTTGTCCTACCCTTGATCAAGTATGCTTTGGTGTCGTCATTCTTTGTGTGTCTATAGTAATTGGCAATATCTAGAGGCTCCACTAATAGTCTGTATGTACTTGGTTCCTAGCTCTATCCACTCCTTGTGGCCCTCAAATTCATCTCGAAGTTCATACCTTTTCAACATTTCAATACTCTCATCCCACATGCCTGCTAGCTCAAGCCCTGTAATGTTAGTATGGAAGTCCTTGATATCATCATGAAGCTTGAAGCATCATAGTAACCCAATTTGCGAACTTCACATCCAGTGTAATATTCTCGTATGCATTTTAGTTTTACATCAATCTCATTCTTGTTAGAAACTATTTTGTCTTGATTTCTCATTGGTTTTTACCTCTCCTGCAGCACAGAGACACAACCTGGCTCTTGTGCTCTGGAATTTCAAACACTTCAAATTAGAGAGGGTTTCCAAACAGTAGTTATTTACAAATTGTGAAAGTTTTCAAGATTGAATATTGCAGCAATCTAGTGTAGAAAATGAAACTTGCATACTCTACAGTATGAGGTGAAAGGATTGAAACTCACCAGGCCAAAGTAATTCAAAGCTGTGTTAACTGTTGCCGACTTGCCGTCTCACCATATGTGTTTTCTTCTGAAGACACAGGAAGATCTTGAAGATGACTATCCAGGTAAACCACATTTTGCATTTCTAACCTTTCTAGCTACTCATTTTCATAGAGAAGATGTTCCATTAAGCTTTTATGAGCAACCTCTGTGCTTTCTGCTTCACTGATCAACTGAGAACTGTAGAACAATAATTGAAGTACTGCATCTCGATTTGTTGCAGCCAGTTTTCCATTCCTAGTGCAGAAAATGTAGGTACCAAAAGGCCTGTAAGGGCTAAGTTCTATGAAGCTGGTTGCTGGTTACTGGTTACAGTGTCCAGTAACGAATGAACCCCATCAGGTTACATGCAGCGTGGCTCGCAACAGAGGATACATTTCTCATCAGTCATAGAGAAAGTTGAAGCTTTCTTCTCGCAATGGATTCTTCCTTGAAAATGCTGATTTTGGATTGAACGAGTGGAGAATTGGCAGTCATTCTCGTTCCGTGGATGAGAGAGGAGCAAGCATTATGCGAGGGACAATGTCATACATCATGACAAAATGTATGAAGCAACCATCCCAGTTTTCCCTCCTGAGTGCATGCGTAAAAATCTGATCACCAACTGGCGGGGACCCGAAACTTACACACACAGGTGTAGTTTGACTGCTGTTTGGCCTCAGGTACTCTTCTAAGAACCATACTGTTGCTAGCATGGCCATTGCACCACCTGAGGAGTGTCCTGCAAATACCATCTGTTTCCTGCAAATACCATCTCTCAACATAGGATTTTGGTACTAGATTTATGTTTTAGAGGGCAATACCAAGTTAGGAAGGATGGTGAGCGTCGTAGGACAAGATGGTGGGACTTAAAAGGGGATAAACTAGAAATATTTAAGAATCGAATGGATAAGGAAGGTACTTGGGACTTAGAAGGTGATGCTAACACTATGTAGAATTCGATGGCCAATTATATGAGGAGAATCTCAAGGGAAGTGCTTGGAGAGTCGAAAGGAACGGGATCCAGCTCTAGGGAAACTTGGTGGTGGAGGGAAGAGGTCCAAGCGGTAGTTAAGGCAAAAAAAGAGTGCTTTAAAAAGTGACAGAATGATATAGAACTGAGAAAAACCTTAAGAGCTATAGATTGGCTAATAAGGAGGTCAAGAAAGTAGTGAGATAGTTGAAAGTTTATAATGACCTATACACTAGACTAGATAGTAAGGAGGGAGAGAAGAGGGTATACAAATTTGCTAAGATACGGGAGAGGAAAACAAGAGATTTTAATCAAGTAAAGTGCATCAAGAGTGAAGATTCTAAGGTATTGGTGAAGGATGATGAGATTAAGGAAAGATGGAAGAATTATTTTAAGAAATTGTTAAATGAGGAACATAGAAGTACGACAATAGGGGAAGAAATAATCAGTAATACGATAAACCAAGACTATAGGTTCTATCGCAGGATTAGGAACTTTGAAGTAGAGATTGCACTTAAGAAGATGAAATCAAATAAGCTTGAGGACCTGATGAATATCCCTATTGAAGCTTGGAAGTGTTTGGGGTAAAAAGGAGTTGCTTGGTTGACTAGGTTATTTAGCAAAATTTTGTTTGACTAGAACATGCCAGATGAGTAGAGGAAGAGTATATTAGTGCCAATCTATAAGAATAAAGGTGATGTCCAGAATTGTAACAACTATAGAGGAATTAAGCTAATGTGTCATATAATGAAAGTGTGGGAGAGGGTGATGGAACGCCGATTGCGAGACATAACAGAGGTGTCAGAGAATCAATTTGGGTTTATCGCTGGTAGGTCAACAATGGAACGGATCTATCTTTTGAGAGGATTATAGAAAAAGTATAAAGAAAAGAAAAGAACATTCATATGGTGTTTATCGACCTTGAGAAAGCATATGACAGAGTGCCCCGAGATATAATTATGGTGGCGTTACAGAAGAAAGGGGTGACAAAAGGCTACATTGACGTGATTAGGGACATGTATGAAGGGGTGGTGACCACTATTAGATCGCCAGCTGGAGAAACAAATGAATTTCCTATCACTGTAGGGTTACACCAAGGATCTACCTTAAGTCCTTATCTTTTGCTTTAGTTATGGACGAGTTGACGATAAATATTCAAGATGACGTGCCATGGTGTATGCTTTTTGCAGACGATATTGTGTTAGTGGATGAGACTAGAGAAGGAGTTAACACAAAGTGGAGAATTTGGAGAAAAGCTCTTGAATCTAAAGGGATTTCGGAATAAACAGAACTAAGACAGAGTACATGGAGTGTAAATTAGTAACAGTAACAATGAAAGCAGAGGAGAAGTGAAGATTGAGAACCAAGAACTGTCTAAGAGTGAACATTTTCGTTATTTAGGGTCGATTATCACAACAGCGGGAGAGATTGATGCAGATGTGCCCATAGGATTAAGGCGAGATGGTGTAAGTGGAGAAGTGCGTCTGGCGGTATTGTGTGATAAACGAATACCCACTAGACTAAAAGGTAAGTTCTATAGAACGGCTATTAGACCAGCTATGTTGTATGGACGAAGTGTTGGGCAACCAAGAAACAACATGTAGATAAGATGAGTGTGGCGAGATGAGGATGCTAAGGTGGATGTGTGGAAGACTAGACAAGACAGGTTAGGAATGAGTGTATTCGGGAATGGGTAGGAGTAGCACCGATAGAAGATAAGTTGAGAGAGAATCGTTTGAGATGGTTTGGTCATATTCAACGGAGGCCAACAGAGCAGTAGTGAAGAGATGCGATGCTGTAACGATAGATGGAAGTGTTAGGGATGGCGTAGGCCTAGATTAACGTTGACACTAGCGTTATAAATAGAGATATGAATCTACTTAATTTGACTAATGAAATGGCCTTTGATAGGCCACGTGGAGAAGAAAGATTCATGTAGTCATCCCATTTGATGAGACTTAAGGCTTGGTTTGGTTTGGTTTGGTTTGGTTTTTTTTGGGGAGGGGGGGGGGGTTGCATAGTTGGACGTCCGGCCTGGTACAAGTATCTCTCTTATCAATTGATGATACCTCATTTGCAAACGATGATGTTCTGAGAATGGCTTCAAATCTGTGCAAAAATGCCTCATTAACCGTGGCAGCTTCATCGTTGCCAATGCTCCTGAGGGACTGAAACAGATCAAGATTAGCCTTTGTTTCTCCAAAAGTTTTGTGACTGAACCAATCATCTACAGCCCATGTTGCAGCAAAGCTAAAGAAAGTCCCTGACAACCTCAGCTTTTGTTATAAACTATGGCTTCCCAGAAGACCTGTTAGCTTTCATGGCTCAGAACAAGCTTTCTTGATGAGTTCTTCTCTCATCTTTATTTTCTCTACAAGTTTTCCTCCCAACATCTTTGTTCTCTCTATGCTTTCTTTGGCAATAAGCAATTGCGGAAGCTTTTCTGTCTCCCTGTTATACTCTTTAGTTTTTGCTTGGGGTTGTTTGGGATGTTCTAAATAAGTGTACTTTTTGACTTTTTATAAAAAGATGTGTAGAAAAATAGAGAAAAGATATTGATTGATGTGACTCAAAAAAGATAAAAAGATAAAAAATATGAATTTATTTAATTTTCTCAAACTTGGCCTTACTGTGGTTGGTTTTCAGTTTTATATAACATGGTGGGTATCAATCATGGTAATGGATTTTGGGGTTTTTTTGTCATTATACAATCATTGACTTAGAATTTGCTTGGCAATGTCTTGGAAAGTCGTTGGACATTAAGCAAAATGCTTGTTCAAATGACCTCAAAGACTTCACATATAATTTTACAATAATGATAGAGCCTCACAAAACACAATTCCTACAATTTTTAAAATGATCTGAACCATTCATGTCACTGTCAAACACAACTTTCAAAAAAAATTTAAACACATTAA